ATAGAGAAAAAAATACAGAATTATTATTTTTTTTATTCCTCCATGTAACAAAAATATCTGTGCACCGCTGCAGAAATTCAGAGGAGACCTTTCCGATAGGCCGCTTCACTGCCCAGGAGACTGCACTTGTGTGAATGAGCGAGTCTGTGTGCATGAGTGTCTGTTTTTAAGCGGAAGGGAGCGTGTATGCTTGCATGCCGCCCGCATCTGTGTGCATATTTGAACAGCACGCGAGAGGCGGAAGGCAAATAAGACACAGACAGATGCGTGCTGTTCTCTGTGGCAGCTTTAGAAAGAGAGGTCCTTCCTGTAGGGGTAAGCGGTTTATTTTTGAATATCAATGGTTATTTGTAGAAAGTGTAATTTAATGTATAGGTGGTTACTCCAGCTTTCTCCAGAAACAGTTGTAAATATTGGCTTCTTTTCTTTTCTATGCTTGTATAATTCGCTCCCATCCCCATTTTGGAATATGGTTGTAAATACAAGCGCTCTTGACAAAAACGCTGAATGTTTCTGTGACTGTAGCACTATTTTTATTTCTTCCTCTCTGGTTTATTTTTTTTTTACTGTTTGTGTGTGAGTGTATGTGTGTGTGAAGGACAGAGGCTCACAGACACAGCACTGGTTGGCTATTTTCATGGTTCATTATAATAAATCACTGTAATGACAGTTTTATACCAATTAAATCGTCTTGTGTTTTACTGGGTTGGGAAACGGGTGTTTATATGTCCCTAATGGGAGTTTTCTTTCACCATGAAGGTCTCAGGATGAAGAGATGCTGCATGCAATGGTTTGAAGATCAGTCTGCTGTTGCTGAGACTTTTCTAAAGGTTTCTATTTATTGACCACTGATGTTTGGCATTGAAAATCTAAACCTAAAGTTGCTTTTTTTTTGCCATTATCTTCTGATAGATGCTTCAAATAAACTGTTTTTGCTTAGATCAAGCAGAACAAAGGCTAAGAGGTAATATGACCAGTCAAGCAGAGTTAAGAAGCCCAATCGGAATGAAGAAAGATTACATGACCAATCGGAACAAAGGCAGAGAGGTTAGAAGACCAATCAACATCAAGCCAGAGATTAATAACAGTTGTGCACAACTTTGTCTATTGTCTTGCTGAGGTTTGCTGCCTGTGTTGTAAAGATTGAGCAGCTTTCAGGTCAGTATTACCTAGGGTCAGTGACTTGGGGGGGTCTTTTTTTAGTAAAAAAGTCTAATTAAATTCACAGTGGATACGGTAAATTTCATGAATTAATTATGTGATTGATGTTTGTTTTTAGGCTAGTTGTCATGTCTCTTTAAAATTTCTCTATCTTTCTACTGCATTTATCCACTCTCTGTTGGGGCTTTTTGTATTCCTTCTACATAAATTGGAAACATTTAGGCTTAATTTTTTTCTCATTAATTAAAGGGTCACTTCACCCATTTGCATTAAGGTTTGTATTGTTAGAAACCCTGTCATATATTATAATGATGGTGGAATTTTGCTTGTTTTTTTTCTGAGATGGGAGAAAAAAGGAATTAAGTGTTTTACTTCCGTCCTATCGTGACGTAAATATCGTCATTTTGCGTCACGATAGGACGGAAGATAAATTTCATTGCATATTAAGAAAACTACAGCCTTTAGCTCATTATTATTCAAGGGCGTGGGACCCACTCACCCCACCGGCCTATTACAGATCAGTGGGTGGGACTAAACCTGAAGAAACTAAACTATTAATCCGCCATCTTGCTTGGAAGACAGCAAGCTAAGCTAACAAGCGCTCAAGGAGTTAGATTTACCATAATGCCTGAATTTACGACACACGATATGGAAGACGAGGATTTTGAAAATCTTTTGCTCGAAACTGATGTTCGTGGCTATTTATACGAGCCACAATATAGTGAAGAGCAGCTGAGGCTGATGGAGGAACAAGAGGCGGCGGCGTCGGCTGCGGCAGCGGCCGCCACAGGAGACCAGCCCGGCGCAGACGAGAAGCCCGGGGTGCTCGTGCTGTAGCGAATTGGTGGTGCTCGTGCTGTAACTGTGCGCCTATGGACACCGAGCTAGAGTCTGTCTGCTGCAAAGAATCTCTAAAATGCCAATTCCTTCTAGAAGAAATGTCAGAGGCAGACACGGACATGGAGTTTTGTGCACACGGACGTTTGTGTTGTGATGTGAACCATCCTAGTGTCGCACCCCATATGCAGATTCCAGGTATCATGCAATAATTCACCATATAGAAAGAAATACAAACGAGGAGTAGCTGCTAATTCGCTAATGAGTTTGCCAATGTAACGGGGTTCGTTGTTGTGGGAAGAATGAGACGGGAATCGGCGAACATTTAAACATTTTAATAGTAAAATAAACAAATACAAAACAAAAGTATAAGCCAGCAGCCCCGCACTGCTGGCCACACACAACAGAAACAAAACACACCATAAAATCAGGCCTGTTCCTCTCTCGATCTGCCCTGTCGCTCCTCGTTTTATGCGTCCGCTCCTCGGTGAGAGACGCGAGAGAGACCAGTGCGTCTCACAGGTGTCGTTCATTATCCCTCACGCCACCGGCCTCGCGCCGCTCTCACGTCCCTCGTCCTGCTCGCCACAGCCAACTAACTATACATTTTGTGTGAAATGAATTTCTAACTCTGTTGGCAGCTAACGTTAGCCCCGTAGAGTAGACGGAAAAGTGATTTCTCTGATGTTTGCGACTTTGCGCTGTTCTGGATTAGTGGGAGTGGCTTGCGGAGCTGTGCAACGTGGTGCATTCTGGGAGTTGTGGTCTTACACACAAATGCGCCCTAAAGTTATTTTCTGTCTTTTCTCGGTCAAGAGGGCACCAAATTCAAAATTTCTTTTACATTTCGACTACATATATGACCCACTTTCAATAAAGATTAATGTTGAAATGGGTGAAGTGCTCCTTTAAGGATCATTATTAACATCCCAATGCTGATGAGAAGCGTTTAGAGGAGTATGAAAATATGTGCTGCACACTTTTCTCTCAATAACAAAATAAATACAAAAACGACAGCAGTGAGAAAACGGCAGTTAAGAAAACTGATCATTAGGATGTGGATGTTTGCATGAACTCTGTAATTCGGCTCTCCAGTCAATTAAAGTCGCGTCACGTTTATTTATATAGCACTTTATACAATAGATTGCTTTAAACCAAACACCTTTACGATATTAAACATGAAAAAGTGTTCAATTTCTACAATAAAGCAGCTCGCAAGTGTTTGTTTTCACTCGCAGACGTCTGATTTCGACGAACTCGACAGAGGAAATTAACCAGAGAAGATTTCCAAATCAAAGAAGGCGGAGTCTCAGAGCCACACCTACCTATTACATCATCGCCACAAACCAATGGTAGTTCAATGGTGTTTACCAGCCAGAGCAAACTTCTCTGGACATTTTGCTTTGGCAAACTGTTTCGAACACAAAACGAATTTATTTTTTGCCTGATTTTATTCAAAATGACAAATTTACAATAATAATGAACGTAAACAACTTGCAGAGCTCGGACTTATTCCACCTGACTGCTGCAGATTCGCGGAGGTATGGAAATACATTGACAGGCAGGTCAGTCAGACATCCTATTATTGCATTCGGACCGATTGCAATGATTGGAGGAAAAAATTGTGGTCCTGAGACTTCAACAGATGTACCTTTTTTAATATTTAGACCACTAATTGATATCAGGATGTGAAGAGCTTCAACCAGTAATAAAAAAAGTGTTTATGAAAAACATTGCCTATCCTACTTTTAAGTTATAATTCTGAGACCGCACGAGACCCTGTTCCTACCCCTCTTCGACATCACTCGTGAAAAGCCATCACGCAAATTGAGCGGAGTAGCATTCACGTCTCACTGTATCTACATTCACTGGTGACAGACAGGTAACGATAGTTTTTTTTTTTTTTACCCTAAGCTTCTGTGTTGTTTGTCAGTGCTGTCAAATTACACCACGATTAAAATATCTACATAGAGCCCGTCTAAATTAAGCAATAGCCCTCCATTAAGCTTAACCAAAGCAAGCGAGTCTGGCGTTGTCATAAAATACCATTGTGCAGGGTCGGAAATGCCAGCAAAATGAATAAAAATGCCCGCAAAACTCAAGATAGGAATTGTCACTGTACAAGATTTTGTCTTTTATATCACATGATATAGTTAAGCAATATCACACCAGGAAAAGTGCAGTTTTCCAGAATATCACGCGATTGCAAATGTAATATTAATTTTAATACAACAGTTCAATAAACAATAAGTTGATAATCATTTACATTTTTAAACACAGTAATGTCAATTTTGACTGTTTATGCTCTATTTGACCAATGATATTAGTTCCAAACAAAGCAGAACAGTTCTGTCTCCCTGTTTCGTTCCTGAATGAATCAGTCAGTTTGAAAGAATCGTGAATTAATGATTATTGGACTCGCTTATCAAGACTTGCCACCACGTACTGGGTTTAGTTTTATAGAAATGTATCATATATAGAAAAATATCTTTTCAGTTTTTCCAACATTTCATATAGGCCTACAATCTCATAACATTACTCATGCAACTGTAATTGCAGTGTAAATACATCTAAATAATAAAACAACATTGATTTTGCTCGTTTACCGATTCCAGCATAATGCCAACAAAGGACAAAGTTCTTTATTTATTTAAAGATGTAAATGATTTAAAGATGTTCTACAGTATGTAACTAATTACATTTTTGGGGTGCCCTTTTTTCCCCGCTTGAGCACCTGCCCTTCAAAATTTCAGTGCATGGCCCTGCCATGGGTGTCCAACACTTGCCTGGAAGTTTCTAGTAATCTTGAAGGGCTTGATTATCTGGTTGAGGTGTGTTCAATTATAAATGGGGCTAAACTCTACAGGACAGGGGCCCTCAAAGACCAGGATTGGACACCACTGATCTAGTGTGTCAAAAATAAGATAAATCTGACTGCTTATTCTTTACAACAATGCTCAGAATAAAATCTCTTTAGCAACACTTGTCTTGACTTTAGTCTGTAGAGGTAAAATCTTTATTCATTAATGTGGGTGAATTGTCTTTAATGAACTTTTATAGCTAATACATTGTAATGGTGTATTTACATCATTTTCTACATACAACATCTGACAAGACAGACACCCAATAAATAAAGCAAAACATCTTTTCTTTCACTTTTCTTACCCCTCAGAACTTCATCCAGTATCATCCAAACTCTTCAGCTGTCCAAGAAGGGAGGGCGTGTTGGTGTTTGCTTTTTGAAGCCACATCCTCCAGGTTTTTTCATGACATTTTCTTTTTGATTGGCATTCGTTTATCTTGGTGGGACAGAATGACTATACCAAGAGTACAAAACGGTACCAGCTGAGAACATCATAATTATGGCACACATAACTGTACAGCACCAACACTGCCGAGAAGTAAATATTGAATTAGAGACATACAGAAATTCAACATATACACTCAATACATAATACCTAAAACACTCTCCTACTTCTGTATATACTTGGCTTGTGCACAATTACTAATGGCAAAGAAGTCTGCCCCTAATTTTGACATTATTTTTTTATTATATATTAACAGTGAACTCTAACCTTCTGTTTACATACCCCTTTAAACAATGTTGGATAGTGTTGTGGTGAAATAACTGTACATTTGAAACCCGATAAATGATCAGTTGCATGTAAATTGGCTCTCAGTAAAGTGGTCATGATTCAGTGTCCCTTTTTTGTCTTTTTTTTTCTTTTCTTCCCAGGGCTGATAGTGACACAGAGAAATACTAACAGGCTAGGAATGTCTGTTGCAGCTTTGTGCCGGAGTGTAATCCCACAATGCAAGCCTGTGAACGCTTTCTTCTATATTAGTATACTTGGCGAATTCAGTCAAATAGAACAGTGCTTTATAGTAATTCTTAAATCACAAAATATTAACATTATTGTAATGCAGGCCTGAAGAAGAGGACACAACGTAAATTAAATAACTTTTTTTCTTTCTTTTTTTATTAATCCAAGTCAAAGTTGCTTCTAAATGGTGCATTAGCTGCCCTATCATGTTAGTAGCACAGGTAAATCAAACTAGGGTAGGGATTTTTGTTTATTTGCAATTCCAGGGAGTGAAGTGAAAAGAAGGGATATGGACAGAAAAGCAGTGAGTTCCCAAACTCCATTCACCCTGTTTGCATCCTTTGCTTTAACGTTTTGTTTCAAACCGTTGCAGTCAGGCTTCCTGCCCTCAGGATGATGGGTAAAGCTGGATTGTGATTTCACATAATGATTTTCCTTAAACGAGACAGAAACACCTGAAAACAGATAAAAGGGATGTTTTACTGTAAATTCACAGGATTATACATGAGAAATCCAAACATGTGAGCTAAATGTGAGTTCACCCAAAAATGAAAAGGTTGTCATCATTTACTCACCCACATTGTTTTAAACCTAGAGACTATTTTCATTTTGTGGGACCATTTTTGTCTATGACAACATTTGAACCCCATTGACTTTCATTGTATTGAGAAAAAAAAATCATTTATTTTGTGTAGCATAAAATGAAAAAAATTGTAAAAAAAACACACACAAAAAACATGATGTTGAGTAAATTATGTCGAAATTTTCAAAAACTAAACATTAAAATTCGTCCCAGTACAACTTCCTGTTTCAACAAAGAAAAGAATATTACGTCAAACCATTTCATGGGGTCTTGAAAGGGATAGTTCGCCCAAAAATGGAAATTCTGTCATCATTTATTCACCGTCGATTTGATCCAAAACCTGTATGAATTTATTTCTTCTGGCTGAACACAGAAGAAGATATTTTGTATAATACGGGTAACCAAACAGTTTATGGGCCCCATTGACTTTCATAATATGGAGAGAAAAAAAATACCATGGAAGTCAATGAGGCACATCAACTTTTTGTTTGGTTACCAACATTCTTCAAAAGTGTTAAAAGAAGAAAGAAACTCATACAGATTTGGAACAATTTGAGGGTGAGTAAATGATGACAGAATTTTCATTTTTGGGTGAACTATCCTTTTAAAGTAATAGAGACTCACCTGAGTGTATCTGGCATCTATGCATTTCCACTCTCTGTTAAGAAAAAAAGAGAAAAGTCCATCGAAATTAAAGCAAAAATCACTGCTTAAATCCATAGTCATTTCCAAATGCAGCATAAATATTCTGTCACAGTTGATACATACATTAAATAGACCTTTTGTTTGTTGTTTTCTGTTTTCTAGCTGGGGGGAAATTATAACCAGTAATTTCCACTAGATGGCACCAACACCATCATGTGCCATCACAAAATATGCCATTACATATTCTGTTTCTGCAGAATTATTATTAAGGAGAAGCGAATTGCTCATTCATCCTTAAACAAACACCCTTAATCACCATTCGCAGTGTACAACTCGTCAGTTTCATAAAACCTTAACACATCTATAAGTGTCTTTCATTGCCATTATGTATTATCAAAGATAATTGTATAATGGACCAGAGCTTCTTGGAAAAGGAGTCCATCTTTCATTTAAATTCATTATATGAAGCTTTTTATAGTCCATATCCATAAACAGCGCTTGGTTCCAGGTGTGCGGTTCAGCATAGCATGGGTTCCAGCTGATGCTGTGCCTGTGATTAATATAGACGGTCTGACAGCAAGCTGTGTAAACAGTCATTAGTAATTCATGGCTGGGTCCAGAGCCCCAGGCTTCAATTAACCCCAGTCTATGCTAAATTCTACCTTTCCTTCACTTGCTCCTTTCCTCTTCTTACACGTTTCTTTTCATATCTCATTCATTTCCACAGCTCTATCATCTGATTCTCTCCTTAATGATCATCGCTCTGTCTTATTTTCTCAGGTTGGTTTGCCCTCGATTGATCTGGCTGCCTCTGGCTGACTGGCTCCGTCTCGTAATGAATGATTTGGACCGACTGGCACAACAGCTGCACGTTATCATTTATGGGGAGAAATAGAGAATCCAGTGTGTAATTCTCAATTTATGTAAATTATGCAGTTTGTGATTATAATTAAATCATATGATGTCTGTGTATCTAAAATACACAAAATTAGCCAAGCCAAATTCTGCATTCTTTCACACAGAAGAGTTTGAATATAAACTTCTGGTTAACTTCTCCCTTTTTTTATTTTTTTTATATTTCAAATTGTAATATATACAAATATTTGTCTAATACAACCGACGCTGGTACCATCTGTAACTGACTAACAATAGCAAGTAGAAGATAACACTTGGATTTCACAACCAAATGGTGTTTTCATCAAAGGTACAACTCAGAAATTTCATGCATAATAAAATCTTTTTGCATTTTTATCCTGCCCCGAATTAGTTTTGAGAGATATGAATTGTGTATAACCTCATTTTGTTCAACACTCTTTCAATTATTTTGGACAATAAGAGGTCACACACAAATTTCCACACTCAATTTGACAGAGATACCTTTGAAATGCAAACAGATATCCCTCCCATGGTAAGACAACACAAAGACAAAATAATGTTAATCTTACTGTCTCCCAGCAGCTCCTCAGACATGAGTCCATCCTGCCTGTTGCCCAAAACGAAGGCCAGGAAAGAGAGAATAAGTGCGTCCAGGATGCCCATAATGGCCAGGATGTACGCCCAGCGCACTGAGCATGCTCCGATGGTGTATTTGTCCGTCCCTTCTCCGCACATCCTCTTCACCTCATCAGCATCCCATCCGTCAGGATATATCATGCAGCCCAACACCAGACACGTACCTGAGAGAGAAAGCGGCCATTTTGAGTTCTCCAGGTAAAAATAGTTCTATGGATTTAATCAACAGCAGAATTCATTTCTGTACTCGAGTGATATGATAGATGGCGGTTCTAGAGTGTAAGCTGGGGAACAAAATGAGCTCAGATGAAAGAAGTCATGGAAGTTTTGTTTGTTCGATTATGACATGGCTGACAGCTGAGATTAACGAGGAGAGAGGTACCGTAATACCGGGCGAGCCCCCAATTTATTTTCACACACATACACACAAAGCGCACTCTGTTTACAGCTGCTATGAGTCATTTTTGCAACACTTGCATGCCATACAAAATAGCAAAATTAGCTTGATAGTAACAAGACTTGACTTCAAGGTCTCCATTATATTCTGGTCCCTAGATCCCCCCAAAAAGTCTGATTCCTTGTCCACAATTGTTCAGGAAGTCCTGCGTCAAAGGGTTGATTCAGGTGTGTTTGTTAAGGAAAAGTTTGTACTGTTGATGTGCTGCCAGGAACAGGGTTGAGAAACACTTGTCTAGCTACAGTTTGTGAAAGCTCATGAGTTGCGTTACCCTTCCATTACTACACATTTCACCTGACAAGTAATAGATCTGACCTCAGATCAGCAGCAGCTGTGGGCGCCTACAGCATCCCTGATGAATTGAGAATAGAAAACTGCATTTTTCAGGAGTATCAGACAGGGCCTAGTCATGGTAAATCCTAGAAGACATAGTGCTCAGAAAGGTGAATACTGCATGTGCCAGATTTGATGCATGGATAGTGTTCTTCAGGTACAATCCGTTACACAAGAGGAATCATTTATAATGTCATCAGGGCTTCTCTTCAGTTACACGACGAAAGACTTTAGGTGCGTTCACGCCATGTCGTGATCACCGAAATGATTTTGAACTGATAAAAGCTTGTAGAACTTGTAATTACAAAGTGTGAACTCGTAATTTTCTGAGAGCTATGACTTGTTCAATGTGGCTGCTGTACCATCTGACCACTGCAGATATAAGGTGTGTTCGTCTTGAAGCGACACTGTGACATCAAAGTACCACGAGAGCGATTTGAAAGCAAGCTAATTATGACAATTATAACGCAGCATTTGATGCTAGGCTTAATTATACTTGGAGACAAGACAGACACCACAATGGGTTTTTTTTTTGAGACCTGACTTTAAGTTGGTGATGTGTTAAAGAAGTATTGGGTGCAGTTGAGTACAAACATTGTGGGTAACACTGGCCCTTTCCCAAATGGCACCCCTCGCGGTCTTTCTACAAGTCTACACTTTCGTACCGTAACGCCGCTTTGGCTGTCGGGAAGAAGTCAGCTGCGGAGCTGGCTTCAATGTGGACTTGCCAAAAGTGGGCATCGAAGGCACATATCGACCGCAAAGGGGTCATTCGCGAGCACCCTTTTGAAATCTAAAATATGGGACACCCTACGGTCTCATGGACTTTACTGACACGTGCATGGCGACAGCCATTGTAAAAAACAATGCATATGAAGTGTACCATTTGGTACAGGGCCGCTGTCACCTCACATCAAGAAGCCCCCCTGTTAGTCTCGGAGTTTGAGTGTTGGCGTGGATTTTTTTCTGGGTGCTCCGGTTTCCCTCTCAATTAAAAAAAAAGGAATGCAGGATAGGTGAATTGGAGACAATAAATTGCCTATGAAAGTGAGTTAGCCCTGCAATGGACTATGCCAGTTGCCGTAGGCAAGGACACACCCAGGATTGTCCTTGGGTCTCCAATCCTGCTCCTAGAGCGCCGCCGTCCTGCAGAGTTTAGCTCCAACACACCTGCCTGCGAGTTGGACTAGTTTATGAGGCGACAGTCTTCTTTGACCGCGCTACTGTTCCCATCATTTTCTGTGGCAATGAGAAAATGGTAAATAAACAAAGCATCAGTTACATCTTTTGCTTTTCATTATGTGGCTTTAGTGACAAAACGCTTCCTGCCATTGCAAGAACGTGAAAAGAGAAAGAAACTATGAAATTACCCAACTCTTTATTCCGACCAAAATCACTTAAATGCACATCATGTAGTAATTACAACGTCAGAACCAATAAAAGGAACTTCCTAGCAGGACTTGAAAGCAGCATATCTAGTTGAATGGGAGACAGTTTTAAATTGACATTTTATCATTTAGCAGATGCTTTTATCCAAAGTGACTTACAAATTAGGAGGACAGTAGAAGCAATCAAACCAAATGTTTTAACACAGTCAAAAAAAGAAAAGAAAAAGAAACTTAAACAGGTGCGAGTAGGAAGAAAAGTGGTATTATCAGAGTTAGCAAAGCTCACATACGGATCCAGCCAAACGAATCGGGCATGATTAACACATCTCCTGTTTTTCTTTGTCGCACAGTTTACTATTTCAAAAAATCGCTAGATAAATGAACAGTCACTAAAAGCCTTTTCCTACATCCTATACCTCTCTCGCTTTAATCTATTGGCTTGTGTGTCTAATAAGCAAAACTTAAAAAGACATTCATCATCATTATACTAATAGCCATCAGCAGTATAGTAATCACATTAAAGCTGAGAGCCAATCACCCGCATCCCTGCGTCCACAGTTTATTTTCACTGCAGTCACTCTAGCGGGTTCACAGGTTTCTCCTTGGGACTTTTTATGGCAGTGCCACTAAGGCTGTCACTTGTGTAACCAGCCGTCCTGCATTCGTGATTGTCTAAGAAGTTCTTATGGTTGTTACACCGTATGCTATCCAGGTGCGACATGGCAAGTTTTCAAGCAATTTGCACACTGAAATTGAAAATGCTGCACGAGCACGACGCAACACTGTCACAACCAATCAGAACATATTAGATGTTTAATCCGAGCAGGATTTTGGACCAATGAGATTTCAGTGTGAGATTTCATTGAAATAGAAAAAGAAAACAAATGGTTTATTTCCATGCCTTCCAACGACTTCTGTCAATTTCTGACTAGCAATGGTGCAAGTTTGGACGAGAACCACAGTTTTTTTGACCACAGATGAGGCCTTGTCCACACTATTACGTTTTCGTTTGGAAACGCATATTTTTCTCTTCATTTTTGCCTTCCGTCCACACTGAGACAGCGTTTTAGTCCTGCAAAAACTGAGCTTTTTGAAAACGCTTTCCCAAGTGGATAAATTTGAAAACACCGTTTTCGCGTTGCAGTGTGGACTGTGAAAATGGAGGTATATTTGAAAACGATGACGCATGTTTAGTCATGTGATGCATATTGAACCTATAAATATGATATGTTTGTTTATACTGCTATTTTTTGTGCCTGTTGTGTGCCATTCACTTTCACAATGTTGTTAAAGCTATGTTACTTTGTACACTCTTCATATTACAGTCCTGCAGCAAAACATGAGAGCAGTTGCGTTTTAGACCAAACATAATAATGGTGACTGAGTGCGACCTGGACACATCAGTGAATGGTAAGATATTTTGCTAAATAAAATGATCCTGCCAAAAGAATAGCATGAGAACTTTATATTATGTATGTCTGTTCCGTCTGTATCGAGCTTTTATGAGGTTTTACACATGCATGCGCAGTAAGGTGAATTTAGCTTTTTCCAACGTTTCAGTGTGGATGAGAAACTTTTGGAAAACGCTTGAAAACTAGTGTGGACGGAGAGCGCTTTGAAACGAAAACGCTGTTTTCAAATGTATCCGGGTTATTGTAGACGTAGCCGAAGTGTTTAGGAAACTTGTTTAGAAACAGTTGTTTTTGCAAAACTGTTTGATGGCAGCGCAGAAGTAAAGGTTGCTGAGTGTATTGCTTTAAAACTGACCGTATTCATGGACACAGTATGTGGGAAATGCTTCTAAATAATTGAAAACATCAGCATTTTCTCTCATTACACATCCTCTCCAGAGCCTGCAGCACTGCACCACACACACATAATGAAGAGGAGCTCTTCAGCTAAACCTTTCAATGTTATCGAAGAGACACACACAGCTGAGCTCTGATAATGAGCTGTCCTTATCTCAACCATCTTATGAAAGACAAGTTGTCTTTTTTATCCCATTTTCTCTTATTTTTATGTAATAGATGCAGCAGAATAGATTATGGGAAAGGCAACCTCGTGGTTCTGTGCTATCGCTAGCTCTTTTCTTATAGATTCGACTGCGGTTGCATTGTGAGGGCTTTGATTTTGCTGGCAGCGAGCACTCATGCTGCATCTGGGTCAGTGAGAGTGCTCTGAATGCAGATGCTGAGAGTGTCACATCCGAGATGTGTTTGTAGATAGAGGCTATAAATAAACACGGAGGATTCTGCGTGTGAGAGAACATGCTTCCGCAAGGAAAGATACATTTGTGATACCCTTAGTCTTTCCTCTTCTCTGCATGTCTATTTTTCATGCTATCCTGTAATCTCAGCCAACGATTTATCGATGAAGCCCCTTGCTGGGGGGATTAGGTGGTGTCCTGTCCAGAACACAGGGTGTTAAAATATACAGGCTGTCCCTTTCAGAAATTATTCACCCAGACATTTACATTTTATCATCATTTACGCACCTTCATTTCTTTTCAATCTCCTATGGGAAGGGGGAAATGTAGTTTCCAAGAGGAGATGTTTTGAAGAATGTTCATGCTGCTCTTTTCCATGCAATGGAAATTTCCATAAATGTAGTCTATATCCGTGGTTCCCAACCTTTTTTTCCAGGAGACCCCAATTTTAACATCCAAAATCCTTCAAAATTGTACCTGACCCGAGGTCAGTAAAGAATCTCTTTAGAAGAGAATTTGTCTTAACATCCAAGAGCTCATCCTCTGCTCCTAAATAATCCACGTCCTCCTCCTTTGTGGTGATTGGATCCATTACCCATGTGCATTTGGAACATGTTCATCGACATCTGAACTTCATCGAATAGTGACTTCATCTCTTCCTGTAGCAGTTCCATGTGACGTAAACTCTTTGCTCAAGGATTTAGGTAAATTTCCCTCAGCCTCTTTGAGAAGAGATGGAAAGCGTTTTACACCCCATTTCATCAGTTTACTCTTTATGAA